TTTTTAGTAGAGACGGGGTTTCACCATGTTGGCCAGGATGGTCTTGATCTCTTGACCTCATGATCTGCACACCTCGGCCTCCCAAAGTGCTGGGATTACAGGCGTGAGCCACCGCACCCGGCCATATATGTATTACTCTTAACCACCACTGTGCTATGCAAAAGTATGTAATAAAAGGCCACAGGGCTTATACGAATAATGAGGTTGGGGCACAACAGTTAAAACCTTTATCAGTGACACATTAAAAACAAAAGTTGGGAGCCCAGTAAAAATGATAGCACAGTTTTATACATGTTAAATGGGTAAACACACAGATGCCATACAGTAAATATGGCACCTTCCCTTGAAGAGACTTGCTTGTGTAAGTTGACATTGAAGGGGATGTTCCTTGTGAGCTTTTGGGTAGTGGTGGAAGGAGGGTTACATGAAATTGGAAGGAAAGTTTTAACACCAGATGTGGTGAGTGTGGCTCCTACCCCACGTGGCGAACTGAGTCAGTTACTTATGTTGAGGTGCATGCATTTTGTGTATTCTTATATGGCTCAGTCCATTTGGGTGCAGTTTTCTGCATTTTCCTAGCATTTCTTGTGGATAAGCAAATGTGAAATGGGAGTTATGTCCAAATTTTCCCCTAATGTATCAATTTCCTTGGAATAAATTTGCCTTTTCAATACAGGTGTCATAGCAGAACTGACTGTATATATGGGGGCTCACTCTTACACATAGATTACACAAAAAGAATTCCATACACTGTACTGAATGGTGTTTTTCACTTAATATTTTTTAGAGCTTTTGCCATATCACTAGTTACTTGTTTCTTTAAAAAATGGCATTTAAAGCATTAAGAGATGACTAAATTGATCTCTAAAATGCTTGCAACAACTTATACTCCCATCAACGTGTTTCCTACACATTGGCCAATATTACCTGTTATCACATTTATTACTTTTTGCCTACCACTAGTTAAATGTCCCTCTCTCTCTCTCCTCCCTCTCCCTCTCCCTCCCTCCCTCTCTCTCTCTCTCCTTCTCTCTTTCCCCCGCTCTCCCCCTCTCCTCCCCCACCTCCACAGAGACATTTACACTGTGAGGAACAGCTCCCATAAGTACACTGATAGAAAAAGGAACTGTAAGAGTATGAAACAGGTGGGAAGGTGGTGTTGAAATGGCAATAAATAAATAATAAATAAATAAAATGGATATAAAAGAAAACATAAGAAGAACCTATTAAAAAGGGAGAGAAAAGGAATTCCCTTTCTACTTATTTTTCACTTCTACCTTTGCTAAATACAACTTATCTGCTTTATAAGATAAGATACTGAGTCAACCCTGTAGGGATTCCATCTATCACTCTAGCTGGTTGACTTCTCCAAAAATGCAGCTTACACTATTAATCCATTCACTTCAGCAAAACATGCCTAAGGGTACCAGATTCTTCTGTTTATCAGTATTGGGTTCCATGGCCCCAACAAGCTCAGCAGATACAGTTGAACAGAGTGATGTGATGGCTTCACCTTTTGAGTCTGTGGCTTCTAATGGTGAAAGTGGCAGAAATAGAGGCTCATGCAGGTGTCAGACGTTTTCCTGTAAAGAGGTTGGCAATGGACGTAAATGTTTCCAGCTGGGCACATTACCAGCCAGGGAAGCCATAATGATTTAACAATGAAATCACATTGGTTTATGATCATTGTTGTTATTAGGAAATATCATTGCTTTTTGATGATTTACTATGTGAAACTGAGTTTTCATATAAACACTCTGATTTGCATTTATATGTAATACATATTTACGTATGTATATATATCCAGGTCAGAATGAGGATGGAATAGTGATGTAAAGATGCCAAAAATAAGGAAATGTAGAAATTATGAAGATTATTATGATGTTGTCCCTTCAACATCATATTAGATGCATTTTCCTTTATGTGAAAATGACAGAGAGCTACTAGCTGGAGCCATCTCTGTTTTGCAATTAGGCTTTTGCACCTTGCAATTGCAAACTATGATATTAATAAAATATAAAGAATATATATAAGGGTTATATATAACCACCATTTCCCTTCTAAATTAAGGACTTGCTTTCCCATCCTCATTTCTCCTCATGTGTTCTGACATGGAGAAGAGAGAGAAAAAAAAAGTTAAGAAGAGGGAGGAAGAACATTTTGACTTATAAAACAGCTTTCAGTCTCATGGGGCCTAGAACCATTGCTCTGGAGCAGTGAAGGACACTACAGGAGGCCTCTCTCTCTCTTTTTGGTTATGATTCTTTGCTCTATCAGCTGTGATGACTTGTAAGTACAGTTCCTAGGATCAACCTAGGGTGCAAAATTTAGTGGTGAGTTGCAAGGGCAAAGCAAAGCATGTCTCCCACTCATCTGCACTCAAAGTCAGGTACATAATTTGGGAAGCCCAGTGCAAAATAAAAATGTGGGGCCTTTTGTTCCAGAAGCAGGAAAAGATGCCATTGAGGGTGCTAAAATATACAGCCTTGCTCTTTTGTGGTCTTTCTCTTTCAACTTGTCATGGTATTTTTTTTATTTGCTATTCAATGCTATTATAAGAAAAATGAAAGATTTAAGTCATTGCATGAGTGTTATTTTTCATCTCTATATTGTGGAATGACAGTTTTAAATGCAAACATAAGAGCATTTAACTTGTATGTGGAATCACCAAAATTACACAGTTTGTATTTTGTTTTTACTAGCATGGAGGAAATGCCTAACAAAACTCACGCTGTTTTAATTTCACTTCTTAATACATGTACATTCTACCAAGACTCTCTACCTTTGGTTTACTGATGAGTAAGGAAGGACTAAAAGGAAAAGAAACTGTAGGTCATTGTATTAGTCTGTTCTCACACTGCTAATAAAGACATACCTGAGCTCGAGTAATTTATAAAGGAAAGCGTTTTAATTGACTCACAGTTCACATGGCTGAGGAGGCCTCACAATTATTGTGGAAGGTGAAAGAGGAGCAAAGACACATTTTACATGGCAGCAGGCAAGAAAGCCTGTGCAGGGGAACTCCCCTTTATAAAACCATTAGATCTTGTGAGACTTATTCACTACCATGAGAACAGTATGGGGGAACCGCCCCCATGATTCAGTTATCTCCACCTGGCCCCACTCTTGACATGTAGGTATTATTACAATTCAAGGTGAGATTAGAGTGGGGACACAGCCAAACCATATAATTCACCCTATCTTTCTCTGTCCTTCTATGTCGTCATTTTCAGTGTAGGTGTTTGGCCAATACAGGGAAGTAACAAGTATAAGAAAGGTTATGACAGGATTCCTTGGTCATTCATGTTTCTTAGACTTCCACTACCTTCTTTTGGTGGTTTAAGCAAATTCTGGTTTGAATGAAACGTATGGCCTCTTAGGGCTATCAGAGCTTACTCAGTTCCGGATGTATCATGTTTACCTTGCACTTGTTTGGCATCTTGCTGAACTCCCATGCACTGTGGGCCTGATGGAGTCTTGTGCTCCTAGGTCATTGTGAATGCTGTGTGTGAATGGGGCTCCTAGGAACAGCAGACACATACTGTGCACATCTTCTCTGTTTACACACACACGTTCCATTGTCCTCTCAGGCTCCACCCACAAAATACAAGTTCAAAGACAAAATCATTAAGAATTTTGAGATGGTGGCAGGAGAGCATTAAACTAAGTGCAGGACCCTTCTTTTTGGAGTCTGTGTGATGACATAGGCTGCACACCCATGAAGCTAGCCCTTTCTGTATCAGGCAAAGCTGCTGGACAGCCTGAAGCCTCATGGGCATGCCATATATGAAGGAGGCCAGCTCACAGCAAGCTGGACATTGTAAGTAGTGTACCAGTGCAAAATGGTTTCCCTGAAACCATTTAATACACTTATTTCAAACTCAGTTGACTTGATATCATTGAGACAGCTAGATCTCTTAGAGGGCTCCCAGTGCCACAAGGAGTGCCTTTCAGATGGGTCTTTGAAATCTCAGTATTATAGCTAGACCCAGGTACTCATCATTGAATCAATCTCTCTATATCTCTTAACATTTTTTTTTTGTCTTTCTCATAGGATTTCCAGCAGGAGAGCTCCAGAAGCCTTTCTTTTGGGGAACAGAATATCCTCGGTGAGTAAATGAGTAAAGAAACCAGTTACCAGTTAGGAAGAAAGAACATGTTGCTTTCCTGGAGGACAAAAGAAACAAAATCAGTGGTTATTCAGCAGAAAGAAGACATAGAATCTGGCATGGGTTGGCTGTACTCTTATCATTTTAGGTATTTGTTTTGCAATCCTTGTTGCCAGGGTATATGACTGGACAGGAAGCCCAACTTACACATAGGTGGGTTTCATTTTTATGTATTTATTCTCTTACCCATTAACTCATACTACCAATATTTGGACCTTGAAGGATTGTTGGGATTTGAATTCATGGTGATGGGTCTAAAACCATTCCAGGTAGAAGAAACAATGTGAGATAAGGAGGCAAAAGTGTTTCTATAATGGCAGAGTCTAGTTTGGCTAGCCCAAATGGTATATGAAGGGAAGGTGTGGAAACGAAGACTGAGAGTTGATATTGGACGGCTCTGCATGGCAGGTAAGGAGCTCAGATACTAATTGGCAATAGAAAATATTGAAATTTTTGAGCAAGTTAGTAAGATAATCAAGTTCATCTTTAGAAATATGACCTGTGAAGCTACAGAATAAGTCAAAATTGGTAATGTACTAAGTTAGGGATACCAGTTTAAAAGTCATTTTAATGCCAAAAGATTGTAGACTCATGTAATTCACAATTTCCATACATAGTAGAGTTTCTGATAATATTCAATGTCAGTATCAACACTTTTATTTTATGCTTTTTACTTGCTGTGTTTTAATGCATGGAAAATTTTAGTCTTGATTTTATAAGTTGAGTCTCTTGTGTTTTGGTTTGGATATATGACAATTTAAAAATATATAGGTTTAAAAGATATAGATTCCCATAAATATATCAATAAGAGAAATTGGGCTTTCCCAGAAGCTGACCTTGTGATAAGTATTCAAGTGCAATTAGTTCTTTTGAGAGGTGCTACAAGGAAACACCAACAGGAGAGTGGAGAATTGAGATAGTGAGGGAAACAAGCCAAATAAATTGTGTCCTATGAGTCTTTTATGGCCGCCAAAATGAATTACTACAAACTTAGTGGCTTTAAATTACATGAACTTATAAACTTATAGTTCTGTAGGTCCAAAGTTCAACTTGGTTCTCATTGGGCTAAAATCAAGGCGTCAGCAGGGCTACATTTCTTTCTGGAAGCTCTAGAGTCGAATCTGTTTTCTTGCCTTTTCTAGCTTCTAGAGGGGGCCCACATTCCTTGGCTCATGACCTCTTTCTCCATCCTTAAAGTTCCATAGTCACATCTCCTTCTGACTCTCATCTTCTGTCTCTCCCGTCTACTTAAAAGGACCCTTGTGATTACATTGGGACCATTCAGATACTTCAGGATAATCTTCCTATTTTAAGGTTAACTGATTAGCAACCTTAATTCTATTTGCAGCTTTAATTGCCCTTTGCTGTGTAACATAACATATTCACAGGTTCCAAAGATTAGCATGTGGACATCTTTTGTAGGCCATTATTCTGCCTACCACATGTGTGTTACAAAGCCAGTTATCACTGTGGGCAACTGGAGCTCAATCTTGATGGGGAACTGTAAAACATGCTTCAGAGTGATCACACCTCAGAGACATGGCAGCTGGGGTATTTATCCTCCCACTCACCTTCTATCATTGATTGAGGGCTGCTACCAGGCGGTACCTGGCAGTGTCCATCCTAGGCCAACAGGGCTCTAGTGGCCAGAGAAAGTCCTTAGGCAACTAGCTTCAGGTGCTGACATTTGAAGGGTGTCAGATTGGTGTGCTCAAAAATGGTGAATGCTAAGAGGACATGGGCAGCCATTGCTAAAGCTTACTACATGGAGACACCATTGTTAGAATAAATAAGAATTCTAGGTTTGTATTTAACCAAATTCATTAATATCATCCCAGGCTTCTGCTGCATAGTTTTCTTTAGAGTTCAGATGTTTGGAATCAATTTGCCCTACTTTTAAGATTAGAAATATGTATATATTTCTAAAAAAAAAATGTTTAGGCAAAATATTCTTTAAGCTGCCTTCAAACTAATAAAGTCCTAGAATTCTTTGATTCTGCTTATTGTTAACAATTTAACTGAGTTTCTATTATTGTGGTTAGGAAATAGTCTGGTTAGATTTTGATGTTATTAGATGATTTGTTTATTGGGTCTGTGAGCATGATTTTCTGACATAAAAGCTAAGGTCATAGAAACCTAGGAGTTAATGTTAGTGTCTATTTGTTTGTACCTTAGGCTAAGTCATAGCGAATACTTGAGTGTGAAAGAGAATTTTTTTTCCTGAAGATTTCTATGTCCTTATCCACTCAATGAATAGCTATTAAGTATCATTTGGGTATTTGGCATTGGGAATATAAATATGCTAAAGACATGGGAGTCACGGTCCAGTGAGATGGCCTCCCATAAGTTCATCTATTCTGTATTAATAGATGGAGAGCCTCTAGAATCAAGGGAGTGAGTATCCTTTCTGCTCACACTGGTCAGCTTAGTCCTCATCTGAGTGTTGAGTCTAATTATGGGGCATGAACAAGCTGAATTGTTTCCAGAGGAGAGAATCAGGTCTGTAAATGGTTGAAGACAACATTTCCCAAAGTGTGTGTTCCATGAAATAGTAATAGAGGTAAGTCATCCTCTACTTCCCTCAGTTTTGGAGAATCACAGTAGTTATCAGCATAAAAGTTCCGTAGAATTTCTGCAAGAAAGAAACCTATTTGGATGTGTTTAACACAGCTATCTTTTTTGTACCATTAACCATCCCCACTTCTGTCCTCAGCCCGCCACCACCCTTCCCAGACTCTGGTAACCATCCTTCGAAACCTGGAGGTTCCCAAACTCCCCTATGTTTTGGGAAATGCTGATCTAGAATTCATGACTGAAGAATAAGAGCTGAAAGAACTTAACACCTGAGGGGGAACCTCATAACTGTCAGCATATTTTTGAAGGAAAGTTAAGGTGGGAGAATGAATTACTATATTCAGGAGATTCAGCAGGTGTTCAATTAGAGGCTGCACTAGGCCAATAGATGGAAGCCATAGGAAAGACATTTCAGATCAGCATTATGGAGAGCTATTATGTTTAGACTCGTCCAAAGAGGGAATGGGTTATGTTAGAAGGGGATGAGCTCTTGGTCATTGGAAATACCCAAACAGAGTCTTATAACCATTTAAATGGGTTTTTCTAGAGGGATCCCATTCCAGAACTTGGACTAGATGACCTGTAAGGCATTTCTAACTCAGAAATGTTTATGGTTTTATGATTCAGGCATTGGGCAGCCCTTACTTGACAACAGTGTGAGATCATGGTTAGTCCAGACAGCAGTATGGTAGTTTTGTTGTTGACAGCAAATTCTGTGTACATGTTAAACCCATTGAGTAATAAGAACAAAAGAGAAACTGAGTAGGTAGTGAAATTGGTGTCTTCCCCATTTCATTTATGGAAGACTAGATCTTCAATGCAAGAAATCTTACAGTTTCTGAGCAGCCAGCCAAGGTTGCATTTTAAAAGGGAGAGTTTATTTATTTTTTAATATGACATGCAATGTAAATACTCTTCATTGATAAAATGGAGGATGTGAATCTAATATTATGAAATATTATTGCCAGGCTTAGTCATATAAAATTACTTTTTGTCTCTTGTCCAAAGGATTGTCATTATGTAACTGAGAATTGAAACTTACAATGATTCAATCCCTTTCTGAATTCTCTATTACCTTTTGCAAATAGGAAGCTTGTTGGAGCAGCCCCTCTCTTAAGGGACATTTATTGCACAGCAATTTCTATAAGTTTCCACTGTTCATGCCTTCAATTCATCCAGTCCACAGCATTGACAGAGGGTTGTAGAGGACCAAGTACTTATTCTCAGAGCTGAGAGACCTGGAAAAACTAAATGCTGCACTCTACACACTGATAGCTACTGCTGCAAAAATTAACACTATGTAAAATTACAAGTTTGTCCCACACTACTATGATAGTCCTATGATTGAAATGCATAATTTCACTCTTCTTTAATGAAGGTTTGCAGTGATGGAAAAACAGTAGGAAGCATTTTTTCAAATGCAAATTACCTTACAGGAAAGAAATAATAAGGGAAAGAATTGCCACCAAGGGGAAAAATTAAATCATACAACACTTCCTTGGGTATAGTTGAGACAAACAATTAGTATGGTAAGGATCATTATGTCTTGTAATAGCATGTTGCTTCAAAAATTTCCATTCCTTCCAGTTATGGGTGCTATCTATTTGCTGGGTGACTTTGATGTTGCATGTCAGGAACTAACTGTGAGATATTTTTAGCATAATTGCAAATCTCATGAAGAATCTTCACAATAAGGATTCTAAGTGGTCTGTAATTCTCATCCATAGGTTCAGTGACTAAATTCAGATACATATAGATCAGTCACTTGCATGAGATGGTAAAGTTAACTCATCAATTAGTTGAATCATTGTTACTTTCTTACTCTGTACTAGGTAAAGAGGATTTAGCAATGAACAAGTAGATAAGGGATTGGCCTCAATAGAATTCATACTGAGAGAGAAAATCCCAGACACACATATGGAAACCCCATTATTGATTTCTTCATATATTCTTAATATGCTTTGCTATGTAACAAAGCACCATCAAGCAACCATTTGTTGGCTTATTATTCTGTAGTTTGGGCAGGACTGAGCTGAGACAGCTGGTCTCTGCTCTGTATGGTGCTGGCTGGGGTCACTCAAGTAGGGCTGGAGGATCTAAGGTGACTTTACTCACATGTCTGTGCCCCAGTTGGGCTGGCTCTGATGGCTGGGGCCTGCCAGGGCCTCTCTCTCTTCCTTCAGAGTCTCTCAACTTCTGGGGTTTCCTGTTTGCCTCATTTGGCCTCATTCTCTCTAGCTAGTTAGTTAGCTTCTTTGCAAGTGACTTGCAAGAAGGTGGAAAATGGAAGCTACTAAGTTTCTTAAGGCCCGGAAATTATACCTGACTCCTTTCACTACATTCTGGTGGTCATAGCAAGTCTCAAGGCCAGTCCAGATTTAAGCAGAGGGCAATCAATTGCCTCTTGATGGGAGGAGGGGATATTTGCATTCAGGGGTGGGTAGAATTGTGGGTGGCCCCTTTTATAAATAATCTACCACATGCTTCTTCAGAGGTGAAGAGAAACAATGTGGCACCTTTTTCAAATCCTTGCTATTCAGTTGTCATCTTGTCTATAACAGAAAGAGGAACGTGGCTGCCTTTGAAAACAGAGTGATCCCTTTTAATCTCTGCTCTATTTCTTTTTTATGACTACATTTGGAAAACAATTTAACTTCCAAGATTATAATGACTTTTCAACACGTTTCCATTTGGAAAACAATTTAACTTCTAAGATTATAGTGACTTTTCAACAAGTTTCCAGATAAAAAAATAAATGATATGTTTACTGACAGGATCTTTTCAAGCCCTGTTTTAGGTGTTCATAAATATATAGCTACAGCAGATATAAAATCATAGAAATCTTAGGGCTGAAAGGGACTTTAGAAATCATCTCTTTCACATCCCTAATTTCACAGAGCAGGATGCTAAGGTTCATATGTGGTCATAATGACAATGTTAGAATTTATATTTTGTCTATTTAAATTGGAAGATATGTTTAGTTTTTTTGTAGCTTTATGGGTTTGGTTATTAGATTGTTATTACCATGGTTACTAGAAAGCAGTTTATCTTGGCTTTCCATTGAAAAAAATTAAAGGATTATGCTCTAAGATTCATGCTTGTAATTATCTCCAATTTATTTATTTATGCCATAGATCTCTGAGTTATGGTGCTATAGGAGTAATTGTTGGACATGAATTTACACATGGATTTGATAATAATGGTAAGTACTGGTTCATTTTACAAGCTGCTGCTTTTATAATAACGTTGACTATGTGGATGTTAATTGTCATGATTATCTTTGCATAACAGCAGCATCATAGCTTGAAGATTATCCAAAGCAGTGTGAAGGCTGATTGAAAACTTTTCCCTGTGTCTTGCTGTGATAGCTTGCAATAAATAAACAGTTGTTCCCATTGGTGATCGGGGTAGACTTTAAAAAGCGGCCTTGTAATTTCAATAAAATTAGCTTTGCATTTAGATCAGGATTGCTGTAGCTGCCATAGTAGTTACAGGGATTGATTTATAGTATTTCCCTTTGTCATTTCTGTATTCATTGTCTTGAGATATTCTCCCTGGGGAGCAAGCTTTGCTCCAACGATGATTTTACATGCTGCCAAGTTAGGACTTGTTGAGTTAGGACTCTGGAGCTTGGCTGACTGGTTCCCTTTTACGATTTCGAAGATTATGCAATGCTTAGTGTCTATTTTTCTCTATACTGGCTTATATTCTGATTTTTTTTTTTTTTTTTTTTTTTGAGACAGAGTCTAACTCTGTCTCCAGGATGGAGTGCAGTGGCACTATCTTGGCTCACTGCAACCTCGGCCTCCTGGGTTCAAGCAATTCTCTTGCCTCAACCTCCTGAGTAGCTGGGATTACAGGCATGTGCTGCCACACCCAGCTAATTTTTGTATTTTTAGAAGAGATGGGGTTTCACCACGTTGGCCAGGATGGTCTTGATCTCTTGACCTCGTGATCTGCCTACCTTGGCCTCCCAAAGTTCTGGGATTATAAGCATGAGCCACTGCCCCTGGCCTATTCTATTTGTTCCTAATAATCTATGTAATAGGATATGCTTTGTATCCCAATGACATTTAAGAAAAAGGAAAAAGCAGAATACGACATAAACTCAAGAAATGACTGCCTTTGAGAGTCTTCATCATCGTTAATCAGCACTCTTTTCTCCTTTAACTTTGGAGTATTATTGGAAGGCCACATGAAATCTCTGAAACTTATGGATTAGCAGCAAATTACTATCACATCCACACCCATACAATGATTTATAGGCAGTCTCAGGAACCAGCTGCCCCAAGGCAACGTTATATACAGGGGGACCTCTTCCTTCCTTCCCTGTAGTATCTCTAACATCCTTTCCTGGATACCTACCCTAGGGCCAGAGACCCTTTGGCTCCTCTAGAAAAGTCTTCCTGTACTCCCACCAGACCTTCCTTAATCACGTAGATTTTTTTTGTTCCCCTGGTCTTCGTTTCTCTGTTAAAATGTAGCTGATCTGTAGTCATCTGACTCTCCAGAGTTAGACTTTCTGTCTTTGGGTGTTTGGTTTATCTGAGATGAGATGAGAGTCTTAACTAAGAAACAACAGCTAGTAGTTTCTTCCTAGGAAATTTAAGTACAGTTCCTCCCCCAGAACCTTCTGAAGAACTTGCGAAGTCTCTCTCAAAGGAATGAATCTAATGGTGGCAATTTCACTCTAACCAATGCTTAGGACAGTGCATTGCACATATATGTCTGGTACCTATTTAATGAGTGGTTAGTAAGGACAGTGACTCCATACTATCCCAGGGGGTGGTGGTAGTAGCATATAGCCTTGCTGAAGAGTTTTGGGTTGTTCCAATTAACAACTTTACTTAGGGGACTTTCTTGTAAGCTGTCTGTGTAATTAAACAATGCTTTTGATTCTCATAGTAACCTTGAATATAGAAGACAGTCTAGCAGCATCCAAATTTTGTTTCAAAGGATGTAGAGAAGAATGAAGTGAGCACATAGCCAGAAAGCATGTTTAACTAATCTTTCTTCCATTATGATTTGGAGATTTTCATTCTTGTTCCAAGTTTTCTTTTTAGAGCAATCTTTCTCGTCTAAGCAGGACACTAGTGGCTGTAGAATGATTCATAACAGAGGTTTTATGTGTCTTTCAGCTCCTGGCAACTTGGAGGAAACTGGTTCTTATAGGGCTGAATCAGGGTCTATGATCTCACAGTATGGATGACTCACTGGGGCTATTCCTATGGATCATCTGGAATTTAGCTGGTAGTAATGCTCTGATTTCCTCCATGGGCTTTCTAAATGAAGGCATCTTATTTCATAGTCCAGTGAACATTTTGGGTCAGATCAGTTGAACACACAGAATGCAAGATTGGATAAGACTAATATATGTAACAAATTGTTGAATCTCATTTTTAAGATGCTCTATGTTCCTTAGAAGGAAAGAACTTTCTCAATTCTCTTTATCCTTTTCACTCTTTTTACAATTAACCTGTGACATCGGAGAGAAGGCAGGAGCTGATCTGAGGAAGAGTGTTCCCTGCTGTTATGACTGCTTTTTGAAGGCTTGTCGAGGTGAGGGAAAGGAAAGATGAATTTAGTTTCCATAAATAACATAAATGTCTTTGAACTTTTCTTTTTGCTAGGTAGAAAATATGATAAAAATGGAAACCTGGATCCTTGGTGGTCTACTGAATCAGAAGAAAAGTTTAAGGAAAAAACAAAGTGTATGATTAACCAGTATAGCAACTATTATTGGAAGAAAGCTGGCTTAAATGTGAGTACAACTGTGGCTAAGGGGGAGCCTTGTGTTTCATTTTTCCTCATTTGGACATTAGCTTGCCTTAAACCATTGGTTCTCAAAGCGTGTTTACAAGATCAACAGCATCTGTCTTCCCTGGGAACATTCTTGAGTCCTACCCCGTACCTGCTGAATCAGAATCTTTGGGACGGGGGCCTTGTCATCCCTTAACCAGGTAGGAACTTTGTCCTGATGTATTACTGGGGCTGGAAAATACCTAAATCCTTGCTATGCCTCAAATCTATTATACTTGCAGATGAACTTAGGTAAAAATCCATATGCTTCTTTTAAAGGGAATGTTTATAAACACTGACTTGGTTCTCCTGGTTCTTAAACCATGCTCAGCCCAGGTGAGACCACTGCTCATTCAGGCAGAGAAACCAGTCAGTATCCTTGAATGGTGTCTAGCTATCTTATCAGTGTCCTGGAAAGCCCCTTTCTCCGCCTATATATTTTGGAATATCTACAACTGTGACCAGAGAAGACCTAAAATGGGTGCTTCTGTGTATCTATATTATAGTGCAAGGGTTTTCACACTGAAAAGTCATCTGGAGTATATGTTGCTTCAAAAACAGCATAGCAGAAAGGGGTTCTAGAATCAGACATGGGTCCAAATCTAGGTTCAACTAGTTTTTATGAACTTGGGCAAGTTACTTAATATTCCTGAGTCTCAGCATCTTCATTTGTGAAATGGGTGTTTCTGAACTCATTTATTTGTTGTAAGAATTAAATGAACAAAGCAATGTGAAGCACTAGCACAATGCCTGACCTACAGTAAATGTTCAATACAAGACAGTTAATATTCCTGATCCTTTGTGACATACTCATTAGTACCCTATCCCAGGAAAAAACAAAGCCAAAGATTTTCTGGGTTTAAAAAAACCCAAAAAATAATAGAACAGTTTTCTTGGAGGAAGGGAATTTATATTTCCTGGTGATTATCATATGCAGGCATGAGAGTGAAACTTTTGACTTAATTGAAACAAATGTATCCCCATACTGGTCCTGAGAGGTGTAGTTATTACTAAGTGTACAGGTTTTACGTATGAGGTTCAAAGGGATTAAACTGAGGTTCAGAGTCTAGATAAGAGTTTATGTCTGTACGACTCCAAAGTCCATACTCCTTCCCCTATATCATGCTCAGGTTCTTATTTTAAGTTCATTTTATATCTGGGTGATGTGTGGGTGGACTGCTCTTCACCATTTATTTTGGCCCAAGTGTCAGAGAGATTGAAACTTAATTCTGACAAATGTGTACCTTTGTCACAAGGACGATAGAAAGGGCATGCCTGTCTTAGCATAAATCCACTTAACCATCAGAAAACAGCTTCAGTTTCATTCCCACAGGAGAGTGGGTGGCTTCCTTTGTGGATATAAGGGCCATGCTTCATTTTTCTGGATTCATTTATAGGAGCTATTCCTTTGTGCCTCAATGTTTCTTTGTTGTGAATTCGGCAGAGCTCAGATGGGGCACCACAGATGCAGGCTATCAGCAGCTGTTGAGCCTTTTTGTTGTGGTTGAGTCATGAGAGTCCAAACCTAGGGCCATGTGGTCTACTGAGGCAGACCAGAGTTCAAGGAGCCAGAGGGGAGAGTCTGCTCCAAAAGGCTCTCTTTTAGATATAAAGCTTAGAGTGAATGGCTAGGCATGGTGGCTCATGCCTGTATTCTCAACAGTTTGGAAGGCCAAGGTGTGAGGATCACTTGAACCTAGGAGTTCAATACCAGCCTGGGCAACATACAGAGACTCTGTCTCTATAAAAACATTTTTAAAAAAAATTAGCTGGGTGTAGTGGTGCAAGCCTGTACTCCCAGCTACTCAGAAGGTTGAGATGGAAGAAGTGTTTGAACACTGTAGTGAGATATGATCACGCCACTGCACTCTAGTCTGGGTGACATAGACCCTGTCTCAAAAAAAAAAAAGCTCAGAGTAAAAAGGAAGGGGATTAAATTTAAGCAGAACTGGATAATATGATCATGATCTTCAAGAGCCAAGAGGAGTTGGTACTTGAGAAGGTAGCATAGTAGGAAGCAAAGGCTTTGGAGACAGAAGACTGCTTGTGTTTGAATCCCAGTGAAAATGTGAGCAGTTTCGTCACTCTGTCTTCTGTTCACTAGGAGAGCCCAAGAAAGAGGTTCCTTAGGTCATGTTTTTTTTTTTTTTTTTTTTTTTTTTTTTTTTTTTTTTTTTTTTTTTTTTTTTTNATAGCATCTCACTGTGTCTCCCAGGCTGGAGTGCAGTGGTGTGATCTTGGCTCACTGCAACCTCCGCCTCCTGGGTTCCAGTGATTCTCCTGCCTCAGCCTCCCAAAGAGCTGGGATTAAAGGCACCCTCCATCATGCCTGGCTAATTTTTATATTTTTAGTAGAAACAGGGTTTCTCCATGTTGGCCAGGCTGGTCTTGAACTCCTTACCTCAGGCGGTCTGCCTGCCTTGACCTCCCAAAGTGCTGGGATTACAGGCCTGAGTGACCACACCTGGCCTAGGTCAGTGATTTATACGAGAAAGTAGTTTCAGGAGAAGCCTATAATAAAATGAGGGATACCTGTTGGTTTCAGATGTTTAGCCTCATCCTGATTCCACAAAGGATTCTGGAGCATGAATTATACCACAGAAATTGTTAAGCCCAGGGGCTGTTTGATCTGTATGTCAGTCAATTACTGGAAGTCTCCAAATGAGGTGTCTCCTATAAACTAAGGTTGATCTGAGCTGTTAGCAGCTGCAGGAATGGGTGCACAGTTTAGGGAGAAAAGGGGATCTGGTGGGATATCAACATCTGCTATGTACTCTGAGCTTTAGATCCTTAATAGTTGAGCAAGGATGGTGGTAATTAGCACTTTCCTCATAGGATTGTGGATAACAAAGAATATATGTAAAGCAGGAACGGTAGCCTTTGTATACTGAAGCTAGGAGGGTCCTGCGTGATTACAGTGAATAATATTTTCCAAAGATTTGTTTTTATTCCTTGATATTGCTTGATACCTGGGTGATTGGGCTAGCTTAAAAGTAAAGAGTTGGTAAGATCCGTGGTTTGAAAGTTTCAAGCAAGGTATATTAGTTTTCTGTGGCTTGCTCTAACAAGTTACTATAAACTTAGTAGCTTAAAAGAACATAAATTTATTATCATACGGTTCTGTATGGCAGAAGTCTGACATGGATCTCAGTGGCCTAAAATCAAAGTGTTAGCCGGGCCACATTCCTTTCTAGAGGTTCTAGGGGAGGATTGGTTTCCTTGCCTTTTCTAGCTTTCGGAGGCCGGCCACATTGCTTAGCTCATGGCCCCTTCCTTTTTCAAAGCCAGCAATGACCAGTGGAGTCTTCTCACATTGCATCACTGTGACACTCTCCTGCCTCCCTTTTCCTCTTGTAAGGACTTTTGTAATTACACTGGATCCACCTGGACAATCCAGGCTAAAGTCTGCATCTCAAGATCCTTAACATAATCACATCATAAAAGTCTCCTTTGCCATACTTTATTTTTCCAGCTTCATTTCGTAGCGGCCATTCCTCTGTGCCTGAATCTTCTTTGCAGTGAATAAGATAACATATTCACAGGTTCCAGGGATTAGGACACAGACATCTTTGGGAGGCCATTATTCTGCCTATTACACAAAGGTTGTAGGGCTTTTCTATAAGCAGCCAGACAGTAAATAATTTATGCTTTGTGGGGCGTATGGTCTCTGTTGCAATATTTAATTTTGCCATTGTAGCAAAAGCGCAACTACAGACAATATGTATATGAATGGGCATGGCTGTGACCCAATAAAACTTGATTTATGAACACTAAAATTTGAATTTCACATAATTTTCATGTGCCACCAAATATTATTCTTCTTTTGATTTTCCCCAGTTGTTGAAATATGTAAAATCTGGTCTTATCTTGCAGCCTGTACGAAAACAAGTAGCAGGTGGGATTTGGCTTGTGGGCTGTATTGGTTTAGAATATTTTTGTCCTAGCTCATTTAAAGTTGTTTTAAGAAACAATCTCGAATATTGGGAAGAATTTCTTTACCATGCTTGGCTGGTTGTCATACATATTGCAAACCTCAACCTTGTGATCTGCACTACTTCTATTTGATTTTTGTTCCCTAGGAGAGCTACTTTTAATTTTTCATAGAAATTGCTGAAGGTCTTGAAATCTTGTTCCTGTGTGGATGGTAAATTTTTGGAAACACAGGCGCAATGAGAAGAATACTCAAATTCTGTGAGTTAATCAGAGAAAGTAACCTGTGTATTGACATTCCTAATTTTTCCCGTTAAACCACAGTCTCTCAGAATATTGTTAACGTTTTATTGGAGCTGGCTAATTATGACTATCTTTGATTTCCTGAATGTAATTTTCTCTTTAAAAATTGATACTTTTCTTGCTATAATATTTATGCCCCTTGCTGAATGATAGTTGACCACAAAACACTCATTTTTCTTTTTTCTTTCGGTTAGGTAAAGGGGAAGAGGACCCTGGGAGAAAATATTGCTGATAATGGAGGCCTGCGGGAAGCTTTTAGGGTATGCATTGCTATGTTTGCTGTGGTTGTAAAAATCAAGCCATTAAACACCATATGGGTGTACCTCACTTCATACCACAGTTATGTTCTTGAGGCGTTAGATATTATGGAATTTCTGTAAATAGAAGTGTATCTCCCCATTGACCCTATTATATAAATAGAACTACATTTCTTTTTCTTTTTGGGGTGGAAAGTCACCCTAAAGAATAATATTTGTTATTGAGAATCATGTATTTAAAGGATAGCTTTTAGAAATCAGATTGAAGCCTGCTACAGAACTCTCCTTGGGGCTAGGTTCATTTGTTTTCCTTGAGTAGGTCTTTCTGTAGTCCTCTTACAATATCCAACTTCTCAGTTATGGCCAGAGGGTAGTGGTTCTCATATACTGGGCAAGGTTCATTATAACGTTTTCATCATCCACTAGTTTGTGGTCAAATAACAGGCATAAGGAGAATGCAGAAAGATTTCATAAAGCTAAATGCATTCAATTTAACGACTGGACTGTTATTCCCGGTTATGTGTTTTCTATATTTTATAAAAGGAGGGCACTACTTTTACATGGCAAAGTAAAAACAATGGTAATATGTGGACCCCAAAATTTATTGCCATAGGGGTCTTGCCATTGTATTAGTTTGTTCCCTGCTAGGAATAGAAAGAACAGCTTCTTTTCCCAAGTGTTATTTAACATCTGAATGCTTTGGTCCAGCTGCTTTGGTATACATTGAGTGTAAGGCCTTTCTGCAGGTGTACCTGCATTACTGGTAAGTGATAGGACATGGACGTGCATTTCCAGGTGTTTCTTTTCATAAAGAAAATTTTGACATGATGCATTTTGCATGTGGCAGGAGTACCTATTGAGAAAAGAGAAAAACTCACCATTGCAAAGACTCATCTCTTCTTGTTCTCTCACCAGGCTTACAGGAAATGGATAAATGACAGGAGGCAGGGAGTTGAGGAGCCTCTTCTACCAGGCATTCCATTCACCAACAACCAGCTCTTCTTCCTGAGTTATGCTCATGTGAGTAGACCGAGGAAAGGGGATCAAAGAAAGATTTCAAACAAAAGTTTTATGGCATGAATTTGATTTTAGCAAAAATTTTACCTTCTTAGAGTACATAATTAATTAGCTAATTGAATCAAGGTATATTTGTATTTTTTAAATCAAGTGGGTTACCAGCCCTATGGTAATTCATTTGGTAGTTCCTCAACGTATCTTGACTTCTTAATGTATTTGATACTAGTTGTAACCATTTCTATCTAGTAAGTTGTTCTTTGGCTTTCATGAGCCTGCCCTTTCCTGTATTTCTCCTCCTTTGCTGACTTTATCCCACTGCTCTCAGCCTGTGGAGGACCCTCAGGGTCACCTTCCCAACTCTCGAATGCATATGCACAGACCCCTAAAGCTGAAGAACAACAAAGGCAACTAGAGTCATGTCATTCTTTTGTGAGTTTAACAGGCTCTTAGAGCAGAAATTGAAAGGAAGATGTGCAGGAAATAAAGCACAGTTCTGAGTTTGAGTCTCTGGCTAATGAGGCAAGTGCCAAGTCTTTCTTAGTTATTACAGCTTATGTCATAAACATGTAGGCAACCTTTTCAAAGAAGTCAGGGACAGGTCAATAAAGGTTCTAATGAATGGCCTCACAGGGGGCTAATGTATGTATATGCTCAAATCATCAGTACAACCTTTTGTTCCTAAGTCTTTGCTTTCACTGCTAAGCTCATTCAGTTACAAGTCTTCTATAATTGACTCTTGTGAAAGGATTCTTGCTTGCCTGGAGTCTTCTATTTCTTAAAGCTCATATAAAAACACTAAATAAGTTATTATTTAGCAACCTGATGTCAACAAAACTCTAGTCATCAACAAAATGACTTTCCTTTTAGTTTTCCTGTTTCTATCATCACATCCCCAGTCTTCGAATTGTCCTGGTTAGAAAGCCTGGATTCTTAGGTCTTATGTGATGCATCTATCCTCATTTTTGTTACATGTGTTCCGGAAGCTAGATGTTTCATACTTTTAAATGCTTTTCAGATTCAATATTTTCTCTCCTGTTTTAGGAAGTTTGGGCTGCTATAACAAAGTGTCATAGACTATGTGGCTTAAAAACGGCAGAAATTTATCACAGATCTGGAGGCTGGAAGTCTGAGATTAGGGTGCAGGCAGGATTGAGTTCTGGTGAGGGCTTTTTTCCTGTGTTGCACACTGCCAACTTCTGTGTCCTCACAAGGTGGAAAGAGCTAGTTAGCTCTTCTGGCCTCTTCTTATATGGGTACTAATCCCATTCATGAGGGCTTCACCCTCATGATTTACTTAGCTCCCAAAGGCCTACCTCCTAATACCATAACATGGATTAGGGCTTCAACATATGAATTTTGGGGAACAGAAACATTTATTCCATAGCATCCCCATTACCCTATCTCATCATATGTAGGCATAATCTTAATATCCTCTACCCTGGATTATCCCAACAGCCTTACGGAATGTTAATCTGACTTCAGCACTTTTTTTTTTTTTTTTAACCACTGTTTCACTTACCTCAGAATGCCACTTTTATTTCATTACCAACCTGCTCAAAGAACTACAGTGGCTCTCAAATGCCGACCACATGGAAGCCAAACACCTCCATCTCCATCTGACTTCCCAGATTTTCAGTATGATCCGACTCCACCCAACCCATTTTAATTTCCCATAACTCCATTGAGTGAGGAAAAAAACTCAGCCTTAGCTAGGCAAGTATCCTCACTTCCGCCCTATAATGTCATGCCCATTACTGTCTCTTTGGCTTTGCTTCTGATTCTCCTTCTATAATACAAGCTTTCCTACTCTTCCCCCTCAGATGGCTATTCAATCTAAGCCTCATCCTTCAGGATCCATCTTCCACTCCCTCCACATCTTCCATAAACTCTTCCCCAATGAATCCTCCAGTCCTTATTATTTTCTTTTATCTTCAACTCCTTTTACACTTACTTTCATTACCATGCAGTTGAGTACTTAGCTGCTCTCTAAATGTTCAAGAATTTTAGTTTTATCTTCACAGCTAATCTTTGGATCTTTACACTTCCTGTGTATCTCCATAGCACCCAGCAAAGATGCTGGGTATTTTGAAGACACTTGATGTTTTTAGATCAATTGCTTGAAAGGAATAAGACTAACAATTCAACTAAGGAGACTCCCTTTTGGGTCAGTGCTGGGTCAGATATCTAAAATAAGTATACAAAAAATAGAATTTTCTAGAGTTGGGGTTGGCAAACTATAGGGCCAAATAAGGCCTCCTGCCTGTTTTTGTAAATAATGTTTTATTGGAAAGCAGCCACATGCCTTCATTTAATCATGACCTGTGGCTGGTTTTGTGCTACAGGGGCACAGTTGAATAGTTGAAACAGGGACTTTATGGTGTTCAAAGCCTAAAATTTTTGCCACCTGTCTCTTTCCAGAAAAAGTTTGCTGACCCCTACTCTAGAGGACAAAGTATAGTGATCTATCAGTTCTTACTATTTACATCTTAGTCCACAATATCTCTTTGTAGATTAAATAAACTAATTGATAGGGATGTTACTTATAATTTTGAAATGTTTCCAGATCTAATACCAAACTATTTCTGATTTATTTTAAAGTGAAGAGATTTAGGGGGGGAAAGTGGAAAGCTATTTTATATCACTAGTGAGAAATTTATCTTGGAGTTTTTCCCACTGACAGAATGAGGAGATTTTCAATCTTTTACACTTTAAAGTAAGTCTGCTTCTAAGGAGTAAAATTACTTTCCCTCCTGGGAAGGTACTAAGAAAACAGTAGCAGCCATAATGTGTTTTCAGAAGTCTCTTAAGTGATATATGGAGCAAAGACAATACTATATTATAATGTAAGACCATAAGAAATGAGGTAAAATCAAATGCCACAAACTACTTCACATCAGCTAACTTCTGAGGAAATTAGGGAATCACATTACAAAACGCCTTCAAAGAAGTCAAATTCAGAACCACTGTGACTGGAGGTTTTTCTTCATCAAAAGCAACAACAGATTGGGGAAGAACCAAGATGGCCGTTTAGGAACAGCTCGGAGTTGCAGCTCCCAGTGAAAGCACAGAGGGTGAGTGGACGCCGCATTTTTATTGCCCACGGACCAAGAGATTCCCAGGCGGAGGAGCCCCACAGTTTGCCAGTGTGGTTCTTTTGGTCGGCATGGCTGCTTTGTTGGCGCCCCGGCCAGGGGTTATCCATACAAAATACACTGGTCCCGGTGCCCTTTTGGCTGGCGATTGGAGCCCCGGGAAATCGCCCATTCATCTGATTAAAGAGGGGACTGAACAGGGAGCCAGGCCAGGGGATTCCTGGGCAAAAGTGCCGCTGTTTAAGCTGGCAAGTCACTGCATGGGAAATCACACAGATCCCGACACCTTTTCAACAGGTGACTGGAACACCTGTGATAGAGTCGACTGTTCAACTAAAAAAGAAAAAAAAAAGGCTCTGAGGCAGGGAGCCAGGTGATCAGGCTCGGCTGGTCCCACCACCACAAAAGAACAGCAATCAGAAACTCTCTGGATTGAGAGTTCCATAGCAAGCGCAGCTGAACCTGGCATGGTCCAGCTCTGTGGGGGAGGGGCGTCTGCCATTACCGAGGCACTTCACCACTACGGAGGTAGTCTGCCATTCCTGAGGCAGCCTGCCATTGCCAAGGCAACCTGCCATTACAGAGAGTCCGCCAATACAGAGGTGGGCCAACATTGCCGAGGCAGTTCTAACTACACCCATATAAACAGGACTGCAGGGAAGTTCATACGGCAGCTGGGCGGAGCCCACAGCAGCTTAGCAAAGCCTCTGCAGGCAGACAGTGACTGTGTTGCCTCCTTGCTGGGCAGGGCAGCCCTGAAAAAAAAAAAGGCAGCAGTACAATGGAAACTCATAAAGCCCTAACTCCCTGGGACAGAGCACCTGGGAACAAAAAGCGGTTTATGAGTTCTGCTGCAGCAGACCTAAATGTACCTGCCCAGCAGCTCTGAATGAACAATGGAGCTCACAGCTCAGCATTTGAGCTCCTATAAAGACAGACTGTCTCCTCAAGCAGCTCCGTGACGCCTGTATAGCCAAAAAGCTACCTCATAAAGGAGAGATCAGACTGACATTTGACGGGTATCCTTCTGGGACAAAGATAGCAGAAGAAGAAAACTGGTAGCAACCCTTACTGTTCTGCAGCCACTGCAGGTGAGCCCCAGGCAGGCAGGGCCTGGAGTGGACCTCAGCAGACCTGCAGCAGAGGGGCCACACTGTCAGAAGGAAAGCTAAGAAACAGAAATAACTTCATCATCAACAAACAGAACGTCCACTCAGAGACCCAATCTGAAAGTCAGCAACTACAAAGACGACAGGTAGATAAATCCATAAAGATGGGAAGAAACCAGCCCAAAAAGGATGAAAACACCCGAAACCAGAACACCTCTCCT